TGTCAAAATAAATTAAATGTCAAATTTGAATTAATCTTCTATACCTTCTCTTATATATGTATATATTTTTTTAACAAAACCATTTTTCTTTATTTATTATATAACTTTGAATGTATGGTATGTCATGAAACAAAATATGGTACACTTGCTTTGTTACATATGCGTTACTTGCTAACAACTTGAAAATAGTTCTATATTTGTCAATAGAGAAGCACACATATCTAATAATAGGATGTCATTACATCAGCTCGATTTAATTGAATTATCACTATGGTTCAGAAAATTATGTAAACAGACATCTCTGTAAATATCTTGAATCATACAAAACATATTAACGATACATATTTTCCAAGGAATAATGTACTTTCATTGCTTTGTCACATCTTATTAGTGCATTAAATTCCTGAAATTATACAATAATATAAAATATCTGATATGCTAAACGTTCTTCATAATTTTTACAAAATCTTTACCACAAACCTGTTATTGAAATGCATCCAACCAGTTACATTGATAAATGTTTCTTTGGATTATAAACATAGTGTGACAGTTTGATAAACTTTTTTCTTTGATCAGATATTTTTTCATTTTCCTTTATTTATTCAATAATTATTCTGAAAATTGATGAATACAAGTTTTATTTTGTTATAAGTTGTATTATAATACTCATAATGCAAAGTCTATAAAATATAAAAACTTTGTAAAGAAATATTATTACGAATAAGTTATATACATATGTAAATAAAAGAGTGAGAATAAGCAGCAATTGCAATTTCTCTACCATTCATTGTTTATTTCCTGTAGAAAGTCCTCTCGTTTCTCTTATATAGTGACAGGCGGTTAGTTTAGGTTAGTTTAGATTAGAAAACTCATCCTGCTTTGTGTGCCAGTTTTCAAAATCACATAGATTTTAATTGCTAAGTAATTTTTTTAACCCTTTGCATGTTTATACATCGCGGATTAAAATCTAATCATATGAACAAATTTTTTGTATATTTAATGTTGCGATATTTGTTATATCAACAAAATACAGCAATATCAGCATGCGTTTGATAAACATACCTTGCAATATATTTAGTAATTATATAATATATACATAGGGTTTTCTAAAGTATTGTTAATGTAAAATCAACTCTCATGAGTAGATGAGCGTGTCAAACTGAAGAAAAAATATTAGGTCATTTTGATAAATTCGTAATAATTATAAGTTATTAAATAATAAGATCGATCGATCCAAGCGCGCGGTCGAGAAAGAGACGTCCCACGTTACACGATACCAGCACGCGGCGAAGCTGTGGAAGGAACGGACGATGGCTATACACGAGCGGCGCGTAAGAAGTACTCTCTCATCAATTTAACACGCTCTATCTACTCACAAGAGTTGATCCGCGAAATCGGAACACCCTGTATATTTGATTGATCGATTTCCTTACAGCCTTAAGCCCGTCAGATTACATATTGAAGAGTGTGGTTGAAGATTGAAATTTGACCAGTCACAACAAAAAAATTTTACCGTATTGGCTTCTGTTAATTAAATGTTATGGAATAATCAACTATGACTAATTTAGTTTCTGTGTTTATCGAAAAGGGATCAATGTGCTTCTAGTCTTTACATGATTGCAGAAGGCATAAAACATTTATATTCTTAATTACTTATACATAAATGTGCTTGCTTGCATATTTTGTGTACACGCAAGCTGTAAAATAGTCTAAAGATTATGTACAGTAATGCATCTACATTGAGATATTGCTTTAATTAATTGACACTGATGTATATGTTATGTAAATATAATTCTAAACAAATATAATATGAATTATAATAGAAATATAAATTATAATATAAATATAAATATAAATTTAAATTATATTGGAATTACTGATATATCTAGACACATAAGATAGTACATAATATATACATCATTGTAAAATTAATTAAAGCAATATCACTATGGAGAAGATATTACTGCATTCTGTACGCAAATCTTTAAACTATTTTACAGCTCGCGTGTTACAACACACACATGGGAGCAAACACACTTATATATAGTTAGGAAATTGTTTTAATATAGTCTAAAGATATATATAAAGAATGCAGTAATGTATCATCTACATTTTGATATTGCTTTAATTAATTTTACATTAATGCATATATATCATGTACTATCTTATGTGTATAGATTTATCATAATTCTAAATATAATTCTGAAAAAATATAAATATAAATGAATTACAATATAAATATAAATGTAAATTATAAATAATTATAATATGAATATAAATTATATTGGAATTACTGATATATCTGGACACATAAGACGTACATAATAAATATATCATATAAAATTAATTAATGCAATTATCGCAATGCAGATGATACATTATTGCATTTTGTACATAAATCTTTAGACTATTTTACAACTCGCATATACAAACATATGCAAACAAACACACTTATATATAAGTAGTTAGGAACATAGATGTTTTATGCCTTCTGCAATCATATAAAGAAGCACACTGATCCTTCTTCAATAAACACGACAATTAAATTAGTCACAGTTGGTTATTCCATAACATTTCACAAGATTCTGAAAGCAGAGACAATAATAATGAACTCTCGCTTAACAAAATATCATGGTTTGTAAATGGATTCTTTTTGATGCTTGATGACAGGCCTGCTCTGCAATTATTACCGATGCATAGGATATATCAATTCTTTTATATCTGAAATAGACATTTCATAATTTTAATACACAGCATAATATTTAGAAATATCATATATATATTAACTTTTGCAGAAATGATATCAGGTCTCATACCGTATACATATCCTATCACATTTTATTAAACAGCAAATCATCTTAAGAATACTGAAGTAGCAACTTGCATCATAAAAGATATTTTTCACAGCATTGATGAAGTATTGCATAAAATACCATCATTTGCTGTAGAACAAAGCTGATCTACAATTGAAAATAAAAAATATAGCTTACTTATATTGGAATATTGTTAGAAATATATCACTTAAATACAATCTGTTTTATGGAAAAGTATTTAAATACAGTAAATAATATTAACTAAAAATTATGACGTTTCTCATTTTTGCTAAAAAAAATGTATTTCAGACGATTATTATAATAAATTAACTTCCTCTGATACGTACTCTAAACACTTTGGTAAGGTACGAAACGCAAAGATATGACGAAAGATTAGGAGAACTGTCATAACCACAGATTAATAGACAGATCGCCAAAGGTCTGGATGAAGGAGAGACCAGCATTTCTCACTGATTTCAGCGCCATATCGTAGTAGTGGTCAATGCAGTAACTATTAATACGTTCCCAAGATAAGAGCGTCTCATGCTCATGAACTCGTCCGGCGGCATGTACGAATTTATCTTTTCGTAGCGTTCGCGTATTTCGGAAAGGACAGAATTTTATGATGTTATAAATAAATAAAATATTAACCTGACCTATTATAATTATTTTTTAATAAATGTTTCATTATTATTATCATCTAAGTCTAAGTCGTTTAATTAATTTTTAGTTTTTTAATAATTAATTTAATTTATTCTAATCATTTTAATATGTGAAAAATACTAATACGTATACGTTTTATAATGAATTAATATATTTCGAGAGTCGAATTATATATTTTTAATAATATAAAAGTGTTCAAAAATTATATTGACTTTTAATTTTAATTATTTTAGCAAAGAGTTCCGAAATCTCTTACACACATAATAGGGATTTTGTTCATCCATATAATTCGCAATTAAGTATATATGTTAATTATTAATTTTAATAAAATACAAAATTAAAATTAAAGGTCAAATATAATTTTTGAACATAAATATATTTAATTCGTTATAAAACGTATACCCGTGATAGTATTTTTCTCGTACAAAAATAACTAGAACAAATTAAATTACTCATAAAAAAATAAAAAAATAATTAAATAATTTATATTATATATGATAATAATAAAACATTTTATAAAAAAACAGATTCAATAAATATAAGTATATATATAACATGTACTTATATTTATTGAATCTGTTTTTTAATAAAATGTTTTATAAGCTTAGAAAACTTGACTTTGACGTAACTAGCAAATTTTATTTAATTATTTCACGACGGTTTGACGTAATAAAATGTTTTATTATTATTATATAAATATAAGTTTAAATTCTTTAATTAATTTTTAATCTTTTATGATTTTTAATTTACTCTAATTATTTTTGTACGAGAAAAATACTATCATGGGTATACGTTTTATAATTAATTTAATATATTTGTGTTTAAAAATTATATTTGACCTTTAATTTTAATTTTTATTTTATTAAAATTAATAATTAACATATATACTTAATTGCGAATTATATGGATGAAAAAAATCCCCATTATGTGTGTAAGAGATTTCGGAACTCTTTGCTAAAAAATAATTAAAATTAAAAGTCAAATATAATTTTTGAACACTTTTATATTATTAAGAATATATAATTCGGTTCCCGAAATATATTAATTCATTATAAAACGTATACGTGATATTATTTTTCTCATATAAAAATGACTAGAATAAATTAAATTAATTATTAAAAAACTAAAAAGTAATTAAACGACTTAGACTTAGATGATAATAATAATGAAACATTTTATTAAAAAAAGATTCAATAACTAGTAGGTCAGGTTATAATTTTTTATTTATTTATTTATAACATTATGAGCTATTAAGCTCATCATCTCGTTCGCTCTGTCTTGCTTTCATTCGGCAAGTCACAAACGATATATGATACTCGTATGTTCCTACTTCAACTCTCGAGAATCTGAAACAAACGAAACTCGTGTCCAATATACAGGGTGTCCGGTAACTAACAGACCAATGATTACAAATGGATTCTTTGGTCAATTTGGGAACGATTTTTCCTCAGCGAAAATGTCGAAAAAGGTCATCATTTTTTACAACTTTCCAATCTTTGTCATTATGTATCTTTATAACTAAGCCTTAAATTAAAATTTTATTATAGTAAACTCTACCTGAAATTAACTGAAGAATGTAATTATGTTAGACTTTTAACTCCAAAACGTTTAGTTTTCAAAAAACCTATTTTTTTCAATCGCTTATAACTCGAAAATTATTGACTTCTCAACATTTTTGCTAAGGAAAAATCGTCTCCAAATTGGCCAGAGAATCCGCCCTTAATCATTGGTCCGTTAGTTACCGGACACCCTGTATATATTATATAAAAGTGTATAGCACGTCAGAAGCTTGTGAGCTTACAGCGATAAGTAAAAACAATTGCGTATCTATTTCATTGCGTTTATCTGTTTAAAAGCGCGCTTTAATTTTTCCAACGTTTTTGCCTGTTTATATTTTAAAGGTCCTCTCTTCTAAAAATCTTGTTTTAAAGATCCTCTCCGCGAGCAAAATTCGAAAACATAAATTATTTAATATTTTTACTTTATTATTTGTAAATCCTCGGTAATTTCAAAATTTTTCTATTTGAAAATTATTAATTTTCTATTGCCAATTAATTTTATCACAGACTTTACTCTTACTCCCATTGCACTTTCGTTTGCGGTTTTCAGTATACGATTTTTTATCGTAGTTACTGAAAATTATTATTGTGAATTATACTTGTGCAATGATATGAAGAATTTACAATTTCGTTGAAATTGTTGATTTTTCAAAAAAATTACGAGATTCGCGGAAATTGCGTGCTTTCTTGGCATTTTCCGTTCGCGGCAGGCGGTTTATTTTTGATTGTTGCAAGTGTTTTTTTTTTTTTTTTTATTAAAATAGATAATAATAATGTGAAATAGATCACGATATTTGACAGATGTGCATATATATAGAAATTAGGGATGTGCCGGATATCCGGTAAGAATCCGGTATCCGGCCTATCCGGCCCTTTATTAGTATCCGGCCGGATAGCCGGATATCATTAAACTTTGAAAATTGATGCAGAATTCGAGAATCGAGATTCTAAATAATTTCTAATATCAGTGAAAAGTTTAGGGTATTCTAAAATATGAGTCTTCCACCATGTTAAGGGATCCTCATCTCTCAGTGACAGAGGTAGCGTCAGGTATTTTGATAACTCTATAAAGGAAATAGAGACGAAACGAGAAACGGACGGACGCACGCACATACGCATATGCGCGTTTTGAGGATTCATCAAGTCAAACAACTTTTACAAGACAACCCAGTGACAGAAGCAAAAAGAAAGCTGCAGTTTATAATGCAGAGTTATCAAAATACCTGATGCTACCTCTGTCACCGAGAGATGAGGATCCCTTAACATGGTGGAAGACTCATATTTTAGAATACCCTAATCTCAAAACTTTAGTTTTGAAATACTTAGCGCTCCACCATCCTCCGTGCATTCAGAAAGACTTTTCAGTGCAGGAAAATTGGTTTTATTCCGATAATCGAAATAGATTGTCACCAGAAAACGCTGACATGTTATTATTCATCATAAAAAATTTATTAATATTAAATTTTGATTATGATTATGATTGTGATTTGTGAGTAATGTCGAATAAATACTATAAATAGTAAATACATTATACTGGCATTTTAAATTTACACTAAACACATGATATATGGTATAATAAATATTAAGTCTGGTTCACACGTGTTTAAATAAATATTTTCACTGTTAGAAATTATTACTTATTAGTACCGGATATCCGGTAAATATCCGGTATCCGGCCGGATATTTATAATACCGGATATCCGGCCGGATATCCGGTATCCGGTTTCATATTATTACCGGATATCCATTATCCGGTATCCGGTAATTTTATTATCCGGCACATCCCTAATAGAAATTGTAATAATAATAATATTATATCATAAAATTGTAAATTGTTTCAATTTTTTATAGACTGCGATAAAGATTTTACATTTGGATAAGAAACTGCGGTAAGTAAAAATATAAAATTCTTGAAAACGTAAAAATATTTGATAACGTAAAAAGGTGAACTTTGAAAAATAAGGAACTTAAAAATTGCACTAATAAATGGGCTATATATATGTGAGCCGTGCGCGGATGTAAGGTGTGTTATATCGAAATTTAATTAATAGAATTGAGAATTAATCCCAATTTTAAGTCTTACAAATGTCCAGGCTAATTTTTTGTACCTCGTGTACATTTTTGAAAGTTATATCGAAAAATTAAATTTCAATATGCGTCTTACATCTCACATTTCGCATACGGCTCACATATAGCCTATTTATCTCTTATACTTTATTTCAACCCTTATAGAAATTTATTACTAGTAACGCCAATTTATCACTTATTTCGAGTAATTAATCACTTTTATTTCGAATACTTAAATTACTGTATATTATAGTATTTTAAATACTCGAAATAAGTGATTAATTGGCGTAGTGATAAATTTCTACAAGAGAATAAGGAGCCTTTAAATTCTTAATGTAAAAAATTTCAAGTAATTTTCTTTAATAAAATTTAATTAAAAAATTTAATTAAAAAATTTTTGAACACTGTGTTAAATCACAATAAAATCGTGATTATTTCAATAAAAAAACATTTTATGTGTAAAAAATATATTTTTATATTTAATAAATTTTATATATATATATGCATATGTAAAATATTCTCTCTCTCTCTCTCTCTCTCTCTCTCTCTCTCTCACACACACACACACACACACACACAACGGGGGCCAAATCTCTCAAATTGGTCTCATGATCAATTAGCCTGGATTCGCACCAGGGGCAAAGTCTGTTGGTAATGTCAAACAAATTTAGCCTGGACTTGCACCAGGGGCAAAGTCTTTTGGTCGAGTCTACGAAATTTAGCACGGACTCGAACCAGGGGCAAAGTCTTTTGGTTCAAGTCTACGAAATTTAGCACGGACTCGAACCAGGGGCAAAGTGTGTCGGTAAGGGGCAAAGTCTATCGCACGAAGATGGCGGTCTCTTCTTTAGGCATGTAGCATTCATCATCCACACCTTTCATTTACACTCTACACTTTTATTACACCTTACACTTTTCACTGCACTTTTACACTTTTTACATCTTTATACATTTGTAATAACTTCAATTCATTAATATACATAATGTTTTTAAGAAAAATCAATATTTCCATAACAACACATTCATTCATTTATTTGTTACATATTAATTCTTTTTGTTCTTTCGCTTTATACTTTCAATGAATAAACATTACTTTTTCAAAGATCTGGTGAATTTATTTATAAGTCGCTACATTTTTG